TGTGCATTACTTCAGGTAGCAAAACCAGTGCATTCATATCTGTGTTCCAGTTGGAGTCGTGGCCTGGTTTTATTCGCTACAGGTTCAGCTACAGAGTCTACTCCATCAGGTTCCCCAATGAGAATGCAGCGGAGTGGAAGAAACTCTTCAAACCCTGCGCTTCACAGCGACTCTTCTTACCTGTAAGCTGTAATATTATTTTAATTCTGAAGAGTGAAGTTGAAAAATGTATTCATAGTGATTTTTATTTTGGATTGCTTCAAGTCTGTGAAGTATGCTTTTCTGCACTTACATGAGCATCACAAATATTCCGTCTTTTGTCCTTTCCCAGCTCATCTTAGAGGACGTTGACTCTATTGTGTATGTGGACTCAGACATCCTCTTCCTGCAGCCGGTGGACCTCTTGTGGAGGTTCCTGTCTGACTTTAATTCTTCTCAGCTGGCTGCTATGGCTCCAGAGCACGAGGAGCCCCGCATCGCCTGGTACAATCGCTTTGCCCGTCACCCGTTCTACGGCAGGACGGGCATCAACTCAGGGGTCATGCTCATGAATCTGACACGTATGAGGAGCATGTTCTTTAAGGTGAGGTTGTATCGGTGTATTACCTTTAGTGACCACAAGATGTCCTCCTTCTCCAGTGGATTTGCACTCAAGTCCATGAAAATGCCAGTGCGAACCTCCCTGCACCAAAACTGTAAATATAATCGTGTTGTGTGTGTGCTTGTTTGTGTTGACAGAATGACATGACATCAGTGGGGCTGCGCTGGGAAGAGCTCCTGATGCCTCTACTCCAGAAATATAAACTGAACATAACATGGGGAGACCAGGACCTATTAAATATCATTTTCCACTATAACCCCGGTATGACTGCACGCATTTAGACACACACTAAGTTACTAATTCACAGCATATCGTATCTGTAAAAGTGTACAGAATACCAAGTTTGTGCCACCTTTGTCATCTGCTTCTGTCTGCAGAGTCCTTGCTGGAGTTTTCGTGCCAGTGGAACTATCGCCCGGATCACTGCATCTATGGCAGCAACTGTGCCTCAGCTGAGGAGGATGGCATCTACATACTCCATGGAAACAGAGGAGTGTACCACGACTACAAACAGCCTGCTTTCAGGGCTGTTTACGAAGCCATAAAAAAGGTCAGCATGCCATGGTGTGTTTTTGGATTATGTGAGTGTTACTGGGATATTTATGCTAGTAGTAGAGGGGGTCGATTGCTCCTTTTTCATTAACACAAATCAGTTTCAACTGCTTTGTGTTAATGAAAAAGGAGCAACAATGAGACAACCGTAAAAAGCAATGGTTTCACAGGTGGAGGCTGCTGATAATTTTCCTTCCTTATCCTTTCTGAATATTTTTTTCACTTGTTTTGTGTTTGGCTAGTATCAGTGTCACTGCTGCTAGCTTGAGGTGATACCTAGACCCTACAGACGTTGCACAGGTATTCCAGTTCTTCCA